CTCTCTCTCTCTCTCTCTCTCTCTCGCTCGCTCGCTCTCGCTTTCGCTCTCTCTCCGAAGTCTTCAACATCTGACTCTGCTCTGACTGCTGAGTGCTGAGATTACAGGTGAGCACCGCCACGCTCGGCGACCATGCTTCGCCTGATTCTCATAAAGCCTGAGGTGACGGATCAGCAGGCCGCGGTCATTAATCCTCATTCTAAAGATGAACGTTCAGAAAAGCCAAGGAATCTGTCTGCGCTTACACAGCTGCAAAGTCCCAGAGCCGAGACCTCGGCCCAGATCGCCAGTCTCCAAACCCTGAATTCTTCCCACCACCCCTCGGGAGGACGCTCCATCCCGAATTACAGCGTCACGTACAAAACTGCTCCACACATTCCAGGATGAGCATCTGCTCCTCGTCTTCCAGGTTGTCAAGGTGAGAGGCCTGGAGGAAGGGAAAGAGGAAGGGGTGAGGCTGCCACCACCCCCAGCCAAAGGGCGTGCCTTCCTCCCTGTCCTCACCTCCTCTCGCAGGTGGTCATTCTCTTTCTCCAGTAGCTTCAGTTTCTGCTGCAGAGCTTCCAGCTGTGGGCAGCGGTGCTGTGACTCCACCTTAGGGGGCCTGGCAAAAGGGCGATGAGAGTCAGCATGGGGTGGAGGGTGGTGGATCCCGGTCCCCAAGGCTTCCCCATACTGGAGAAGGGTGGCAGTGTCAGCAAGTTCCAACAGCTCTCCTGGCAGGCTCGCTGCCCACATCCCTGCTCACAAATGAGTAACTGGGGCTCAGAGAAGGGATGGTCCAGGCATGAAGGCAGGACACGTACGGCTTGGGGGCACCATAAGGATGATCATGCTGTTGGTCTTGATCCTGCGGTCCTTCATGCTCCTCCTCTTCCCCCTCTTCCTCTTCTTCCTCCTCCTCATCCTCCTCCTCATCGTCGGAGTCCGAGTAGAGCTGAAGGAGGTCATCTCGCAGGTTCACCTGCTTCCGGAGATGTAAAATCTAGGGGAGGAGACAGAAGCCACTGGAGGGTGAGTAGGAAGGCACGTAACAGGTGCTAGTTTGGGGAAGGGAACACACTGATCCCTGCCCTCCTCCCTTAGGTACCCAAATACCTCCTCCCTGGCTGAGCCCAGCATTGCTTCCAGCTTGTTATTCTCCTCCATCAAAGCACTATTCTGTTTCACCAGGGACTGGCCGATGCGAGCAGCTGTGTTCAGGTCCCGTTCTTTCTGCAAAAGGAGAGCCAGCCATTCATACTTTCCTAGCTTCTGGGGACCTCCTACACAGGAGGGAGAAACTAGGGCTAGGACACACGAAGAAAGCTTCCCCAACACCCAGTAGTCCAGGTTCTAGATCACAGACTACTAACCAACTCTGGGGTCTGACTCGATTTCCCACCATGGGGAAAAAAAATGAGATCAGCCCAGATTGCCCCCCTGGAAGCTAATGCATTCTGGGAGAGGGACCCTCAAGTTGGCCCCCAGGCAAGCAGAAAACAGACAAAATCCCTAAGTCCTGCAGGGCAGAGTTAAAATGAGGGCTGACCTGGGCGAGGAAGGCAGTACCCACCTCTTCCAGCAAATATAGCATCACTTTGACATCATCTTCAGTGATTTTCTTCGTGGGAGGTGGGTTAGGACACAGTGCTGCAGGAGGAAAGGCTCGAGCGGGTCAGAGAAAGGAGCCGAGGCTGCCCTCAGCCCACTGCGACCCTCACACCAAAGGTCATAGAGCCAGGAGACTGAGATCCATCCGGCCCTAGCACCCTCTGCACAGCTCCGATCTCAGAGCTCCTGCTTCCTCAGGAGGGGCTTGGGTGCTGTAAGAGCAAAACCATCCTCTAGATTCAGAAACTGGACTCCTAGGACCCCTGGGTCCTTGGTCCCCAGAGACACGAAGTCAGGGGAAATACAGCTGCAAACTGACTGATTCATCATGTCTGACCCAATCGGCAGCGAAGCCAGCTCATTGGAGCCTCCTCGGTCATAAAAACATGCAGTTAGTCACCTTACACCTGTTGCTTGCGACAACTGGGCCAAGGAGACTTCTTCAGCACCCAGAAGGGGGCACCAAAGCCTAAAATTGTCCCCGCCCAGAAGAGGAGGAACAGAAGCCCAGTGCCCCGCCCACTCCTCCCTCCTCAGTCCAGCTCCGGGAAAACACGACCCAGACCCCTGCAGCCACTTAGTGGTCAAAAGCTCCCTCTCCACCCACCCACGCATGCTGGTTCCACTAGCTAGCGCAGGCTCAGAGCGCAACCAGCAGCTCCCTCCTGCAGCCCCCGCCCCTCTGCTGGCACTGCGGTAGATGGGGAGGGGGCACTGAGAGTGCGCAGATCTGCCGCAGCAACAGGCGCGAAGAGGGGGCGAGGAGCGCGCAAGCCCTGAACCTGACGCACCCACAAAATTCGTGGAACCCGAAAGGAAGGAAGAGATGAGGAAAGGGAGACTAAACAGGCGCCGCGGACAGAGGTCTCGCGGGGTGGTGGAAAGGTTGGAGTGAGCGCCACAGGGGGGCGGGGCTCCTGAGTCGTGGGCCCCTTCCTCCTCCCCGGAGATGCCCGAGTAGCAGTCATTGCGGGTTCCCATAGATTCAGTTTACCTTCCTGCAGCTCTCGAATAAACGCGGCGCGCTCAGGGCCGGACACGCCAGGCCTCCGGCCGATGTACGCGGCTGGCGTCTTCCAGATTCCCTCGGCTTTTCCAGTGCCCAGGCCAGTGGCCCGGGGACCATAAGGCCCCTGGAATACATAACGGGTCCATGGCGCGTCCGAATTACCGATGATCATGGACCGACAAAAGCTTCCTGACTTGGTTCGGGATCCTGGAGCTCGCTGTCCGGACCCGGTTCCCTGCGCAGGAGCAGGTTTGGGCTCCGCCGAGGGCTCCGGGGCCGGACTGGCTGCAGGTTGGGTCGCGGGGGTCCCTGCTGCTGGGTCCCCAGACCCCGTCCCGTCCCCCGCACTGTTCTGCACCTGTTCCTTGGGGCGCATCTTGACTCCGCAGTGGGCTGCCGCAGCCGAGCCTTTATAACCTGCGCCCGGAGCGGGCTCCGCTGGGCTGTACCACGCGTGATGCTGGGGGTCACCAAAGATCAATTAGTGGTGCCGAGGACTCAGAATCGTGCGAGAGTGCCGCAAGTGGTGATGGAACCAGAAATAAAGAACGAAAAGAGGAAAGAAAGGAAAGAGATGAGCTAGTGCCAAATTGGTTCTGCAGAATCGAGTTCACGGTGAAAGGCTTTTGTTCCCCTTCCATCTTCTGGTAATGGTTCTGTCCAAAGCCGCCGCTTTCCCTGGACTTGGGCTGAGGGACCCCGAGCTTCTTGTCTAGAAGCAGTCCCCCCCCCCCCCCCCCCCCCCCCCCCCCCCCCGGACTTCCAGCTTGTGCCTTTTCTGTTGTCATACACAACGTTGTATAAAGGCCGAGGTGACTTGCGAGGCGGGGCAGTTTGCCTGTGTCTTCCCAGGTGGATTAAGCGAGAAATGCAAACTCCAATATGGTTTTCAACGTGTTGCGTGTCACCCACAGGTCCTCGCGCGCTCACACTCCCGCACTCGCCCCTGGATGTCTTCCATCTTAGTACATTCACTCGTTCTTTATTTCCAACCCTAGTTCGCAGGGCCTGCCCTCCTTGTTCTTCAGACTTTCCAGAAACGTTATCTTCTGAGGAGATCCCGCTTAAATGCTTTGCTGTGACCTCTCTTCCAGGACCTCCCCCCACCTACGCCCCCCACCCATCTCCCCAAAGCATCCGTCATCCCGAGGTCTGAAAGGACCGATGTCGGTCAAGACCTGTGCTCTTCAGCCCACGGATGGTGTGCTCCCCAGAAAACTGGATACTTTAGAAGGTAGCTCTAGGTCCTGAATGAACTGGGGTAGGGGTGGGAGCTAAGCAGGGCAGTAGCCATTTCTATGCGTTTAGACTGGAAGACAGGCTAAAAGGAGATGGGTGACTCGTTGATTAAGGTCTCAAAATCATTTTTGATGTCCTCCATTCTTCTCCACTATCCTCTAGTTGCCAAGCGTACTGACTTTACCATATATATATATGCCTCCAAGTGCTGGCCCATCGCGCCCAGATTATTTTAAATTTTTGTATGTGCTGTCTGAACGTGTCCATATCTGTGGGCGGAAGTCGGTGGTCAACAGTAGCTGTTGCCTATCGCTTTCCACCTCATTTTTTGACACAAGGTCTCTCACTGAACCTGGAGTTCAGTACTTTGACTAGACTGTCTGGTTAGGGTGCCCCAGGCAGCCACTTAACTTCACCCCATCCTCAACCTTGGTTGTGGTTTACAGACAGGTGTCTTCCTGTGGGTGCCAGGGATCCAAACACAGGCCCTTGTGCTTACCCAACGTTTGCCCTTTGAGCCGTCTCCCAGCTCCCTATAGATTGTCTTGTTTTGTGTGTATGGCTGCTTTGCCTGCTTGTATGTCTGTGCACCGCTTGCATGCCTGCGGTCCACAGAAGGCAGAAGAGGGCATCAGATCCCCCTAGAACTAGAATTACAGATGGCTGTGAGCTGAGGGGAAAACCCAGGTCCTATAGGAGGGCAGCCTGGACTCTCAGCCACTCAGTCATCTCCCCAGCTGCCCACCCCCATTTTCTTTTGATTTTGAGAGAGGGTCTCACTGTGTTGTCCAGGTTAGCGTAAAATTCACTATGTGGGTCCGGAGAAATGGCTCAGCAGTTAAGGGCACTGGCTTCTCTTCCACAGGATCTGGGCTCAATTCCCAGCACCCACATAGCAGCTCACAACTGTCTGTAACTCCAGTGCCAGGGAATCCTTCACATCAATGTACATAAAGTAAATTTAAATAAATTATTTTAAAAATTCACTATGTTGCCCAGGTTGGCCTCAATTCTCCTGCCTCAGCCTTTCTTGAACTGGGATTATAAGCATACCCAGTTTGAATTTCCATTTTAAATATATCTCAAATATAGCAAGTTCCATGCCAGCCAAAGTTATAGAGTGAGACCTCATCTCAAGAAAAAAAGCAAAACAAAAAAAAATTAAGTGATTTTCAAATGTTCATCTGCTTGGCTCTTCTGTTTTCCAAGCTGAGTGTTCCTTCTCTCTTCCTAGATTGCTGTAGTATCCAACTCCTTACAGCCCCCCCCACACACACACACTTCTCACACACCTGCCTTACCCCCTCTGGGATCCAGATACATTCCTTCTTTTATCTCTAGCTCAGCCTTCATAATACACTTAACTAAGCTAAGGAACTCTGGACCGCCTTCCTCACAGCCCTCCATCCTTGCCTGAGCCCTAGATAGGACTGATACCTAAGGTTTTTGCCTAGCATAGAGGCTCCTAGTAGCTTTGGGGTCAGGTTTCCACACAGTCTGGAACAAGAGAGACAACCCAGAAAGAATCAAAGTGCCCCTCCATCAGTACCCCCATCAAGAAGCATTGGCATTCAACTTCCCACAGGGCAGGAAACCCTGACTGCCCTAAGGGACGAAGAGGGAGGAGGAGAGGGAGTGGGGGGAGTGGGAGGGTGTTGGGAAGAGGGGCAGAAATGGAAACTTTTATAATTTAATAAAATTACTTTTAAAAAAAGAAGCATTGGCATTCAAATAGGTCTTTCTACCACGTGATAGTGTGCATCCGCAGCCTCAGCCCTAGGGAGCTGAAACAGGTGCATTATGAGTTCAAGGTCAACCTGGACCCCGTGGCGAGTTTGAAGCCAACCTGGACTATTTAGCAAGGTTGAGGCCAGCTTGGGCTACATGAGAACATGTCTTGATGCTCCTCTCCTCAAAACAATGTTTCCGTCTATTTCTGTTCATCCATTCATTCAACAAACATATTGAGCACCTGGTCTAACTCGTGTATTTGTGCATGTATGGGGTGTGTAGTTTGTCCGTTTGTAAGGATGCCAGAAGCTAGAGGAAAACTCTCTCGTTAACCACCTTACTCCTTTGACACAAGGTCTCTCAATGAACCTGGAGTTTGATATTTTTCAGCTTCGCTGGCTGGAAAGCAAGTCCCTGAGATTCTCCGCTCCTTGAGTCCCATCCCCCAGCACAAGGGTTCCAGGCTCATGTAGCCACGGCCAACTTTTCCCATGAACACTGGAGATCCAAACGCAGGAGGTTGTGTTTGGACAGCAAGCACTGTTACGCACTGAGCCATCTCACCGGCCCCGAGTGCCGATTCTATATGCCAGGTATGGCGCTAGACTAGGGCTAGGGCAGGGAACGAGAGACACTCCGGCTCCGCGCTCCTGGAATTTAGAGTCTAGAGGAGGGACAGATAAACAAGAAAACAAGTCAGATCGTCACGGATTTCACAAAGTTCTCGGAAAGGTACAAAGAGGTATGATTAAAAGAAACAGAAAGTCCCCACTCTCAGAGGGTGGAGAAAATCATCCACGGAATAGTCATTTAGCATCCCAGCCCACACCCGGGCTGTCAGTGTACAAGGCTCACTCAGATCCCTTCTCTCTCTCAAGCAGCCTCCCTCCCTGGGGACCAGGGCTTCTTACTCCTGACTGGTGACTGGACCCTGCTCCCACTTCCCCTCCTAGTCCCATATCCTTCCCATACCCATCAGCCCCCAGCCCCATAGGGATTCATCTGCCCGTTTATCAAAGGGACCATTCTCTCTAATCAGGTCAGGTTTGAAATAGTACTTCACACTCAACTCCTGCGATAGCAGCGAGACAGAGTAAAAGAAATGGCACCCTGCTGAACATGGACCCCTCCCAACCTCTACCTGCGACTTCTTCCCCTCCTTTTCCTTGGGCGCTCTCTCTCTCTCTCTCTCTTCTACCATCTACCCATCTATTCATCATCAATCTTTTGTTTTCGTTTTTTCAAGACGAGACAGGGTGTCTGTAGCTTTGGAGCCTGTTCTGGAACTCACCAGGTAGACCAGGCTGGCCTCGAACTCACAGAGATCCATCTGCCTCTACCTCCCAAGTGCTGGGATTAAAGGTGTATGCCAACACCACCCAGCCCATCATCAATCTTTTTAAAGATTTGTTTTATGTGTATGTTTTACTTGCATGTATATATACCACATGCATGCCTGATGCCCAAGGATACCAGAAGAGGGCATTGGATCCCCTGGAACTGAAGTTACAGATGATTGTGACCCACTATGTAGGTGTTAGGAGCTGAATCCAGGTCCTCTACAGAACAAGTGGCTCTTAACCAAGAACCCATCTCTCCAACCCCTATTTACCTTTTTGGAGGCAGGATCTTGTTATGTAACTCAAGCTGGCGTCTATACGCGCAGGCTAGTCTTCAACTTGAAATTATCCTGCCTCATCTCTCTGGGTGTATAACTTACAGGCATGTCTTAGCTACTGTCCTATTGCTGTGACGAGACACTGTGACAGAGGTGACTCTTACACGGGGACATATTTAACTGGGGTTGGCAGAGGTTTAGTCCATTCTCATCATGGCAGAAAGCAGAGAGATACGGTACTGGGGCAGCTTCTGAGAGCTTTGGGAGCTTTACATTCTAATACAGAAAGAGAGAGAGAGAGAGAGAGAGAGAGAGAGAGAGAAACAGAGACACACACACACAGAGAGAGAGAGACAGAGAGACAGAGAGAGACAGAGACAGAGAGAGGAGAGACTGGTCCTGGTATGGGTTTTTGTAGTGACATACTTCCTTTGACAAGGCCACACCTTCAAATCTTTCCCAAACAGTTCACCAACTATTTGTGACTAAGCACTCAAACATGTTAGCCCACTGCGGCGCTTTCTCATTCAAACCACCACAAGGTGCTCGCCACTACACCGGGCCGACCCCAAGTCGGTTCTACAAAGCTGTTGAGAGTGGACCGGCCAGGGTCACTACAGAGAAGGCGGAAAAGTTTTCCCTTTTATTATCGTTAGAACCTTTAGCCCTCTCAGTTGTTGTGGGCTTTGTGTCTTTTTTAATCTCATGCCTCTAAATTATCTTCCAATCATTGTTCATCCCTAACAAACACTTAGTAAGCATTACGACAGGCATTTGGGGCACACCAGTGAGTAAAGAGGACAGATCTCTGTCGTCTGAGGACTCGTGTGCTGGGGGAGCTACAAGCCATCA